TACTCTAGCCGACCAGAGCTCTCATGTGAGCATCAGTCTTGGTGGCGCCGCAGCTGTGAGTCACCACAGATCCCCTCATCACTCACGACCTTCCTACCACCCACAACCTTCCTACCATCCACAACCTTCCTACTACCCACAACCTTCTTACCACCCACAATCATCCTACCACCCACAACCATCCTATCAACCACAACCTTCCTACCACCCACAGCCAAGCTACAGTCACCATGAGCCCGCCGTCCCCGCTTGCGCCGCCAACACCACTAAGCCTTGGTGCCTCGAAGACGCCGAGTACCCCACCTACGAGATCAAGCACGCCGCTGAGCAACACTACGAGAAGGTCCTCTCCCTCTACGCTGACGTCGCTGACCTCAACACTGAGCTCTCAGTCAACCGTCCTAAGGTCCTCGAGGAGGAGACTTACCTCTGTCCCTCAGAGACCGCTTACGTCAGGCCTCTGCGTGCCCAGAACACCGATGGCAAGTGGCGCGTCATTGTCAACAATGTTGATGCTCATTATCAAACTCTCACCCAGACCACCCGCATCGAGGAGTGCCTGACCTCCGGCGACGCCTGCCCCCTGGTGCCTGAGTGTTACGAGTCCAAGTGCCTGCAGAAGTCCATCTACCACCGCTTCCTCGTCTACGACCCCTATGATCAGTACTTCCCCTTTGCCATCGAGACCTTCAAGCTGCCCGCCAGCTGTGCCTGTCTGCTGGGCGCCTACACCATCGACCACTAAGACCAACACACCACAAATCTCTCGCCACTGAAGAAATGGAAAACGAACCTTTTTATAAAAACACCTTGTGAATCTTAGTCTTTGTAGTCTAGGAGCACGAGCGGGTGGTTCCCTGTGGCGGTAACACTGCTGCTGCAGGAGCCACCTTCGTTGGCGTGACTTCCCAAACATCGCGGTACGTGAAGAAAGCAGTTCTCTAGTCATCTCACTGTGATAACCACCAGAAAATTTAAAACAGTATTTATTACTATAAACATATATTTATATATAAATATATATATATATATATATATATATATATATATATATATATATATATATATATATATATATATATCGTTTGTGTAACTTCAGCTCCTGTACTTGCGCGGTACAAATAAAATTATGAACATTGTATGTAACTTTTAATAACTTACTCCTTGTCCAAAGCAAAACTTGGGTACAATTCTTGCTTTAATTAAGAAAAAAGAAGACATAATTCACAACATACCGTATCTTCAACACAAAATCCAACTCAGCTCATTTTTAGATCTATTCATTACTAAGTCATCACCTGCATCTTTTCTTCACTCCAGTGTATTCACAGAAAGTTTTCCTCCACCTTACATACAGCCACGTAGATAGTAGGCAGCTATCAAACAGGGAGGTACTTTCACCTGGGAAGATATTGGAAGCATAATGTGTTGTCTAATGGTAGACCCTGCTGCCATATGGCATCACAAAAATGGTGACCAAGTCCAAGGCTGCTGATCTGACTTTCTGACTTATTTACACACAATTGCAGGGTACCAATTGTTTCTCTTTCTTTGACAACACAACATATATATCATTTCTCACTCTTAATTTATTTATTTTGTTTCCATTTTTGTTGGTGACCTGTGCCTGAGTGGGCTACCCCGTTAAAAAAAGTTACTCTAAAGCTGTAGTCATACATGTATACCTGACGTGTTGCTCCTCACATGAATCCAAGGACTGACAGCTCATTGGACTGTTTCTAGCAGCTGATATAACGTCTTTATATAATGTTCTTAGATCTAACACTCTTATACTAGTATTCACTTAAAACGAGTCAAAGATACTGAGGACAATTCTTATCACCTTAAATTACTTATGAAACCAATCAAAACAATATATATATATATATATATATATATATATATATATATATATATATATATATATATATATATATATATATATATATATATGTGTGTGTGTGTGTGTGTGTGTGTGTGTGTGTGTGTGTGTGTGTGTGTGCGTGTGTACAAGTTTACTCTACGCATATTAGTAGGTATAATGATAAGTACATGTACCCACTATTACATATACTGTATACGTATGGGTATGAGCACAATTATAGACATTGGTTCAACTACGTGTACATATATAGATATGGGTACAACCAGAACAAGTTCATTTACAAGTACACATAAAATAGATCGATAACCAGACCCTGAAAATGTCACTGACTTTATTTTTGCATAAAATATATCGCAGTACGTGGAGTCATTAATAAATGGCCACACAGGTGACATGTGGTTTACTGTATTACCACATTGGTAACTCAGGCAACTGGAAGCTTACATCACTGTTATTAACATTATTTCTGGTGAAGGCGACAACAGACACCTACCCTCCCTCATTATGTACTGAGTATATTTAGAACTGGTTTAGGTGAAATCTTTATGTGCCTGACTGCCTGCCTTTTCGTCCTCTCTCTCTCATTATATACTCTTAATACCGATAGGAACAAATAGACTTAACGTTCAAAATTTGTATAAACTACAAAAAATACGTCTGTTCGTCGTTCAGTTTGACCTTTATATATTTTGTCTAACAACCCTCACAATATCATGGCGCACAGCATATATAGTCGGAATGAAGACCAAATCCTGGCTTTACTTCCGTAGGGTTTACGCTGATGTACGAATATAAAGCTTCATCTTTGTTCAATCAAGCGTGTTGCATCACCCTCCACCTCCCTCCAGCCTCCAGTGTTGGGGATGTTGGCAGCCCTCACGCTACCAACATTCTTCGCACTGAGTACGTTTCTACAGGACCAGACGGACTCACCCTCTCACGCGGTGCATTATACAACATTACATAATGTTATTACCTTGTGTGCACGTTTTACGATCCTCTTAATTATTATATGAGACATAATAGTTAGTTCCTTATAACTACCGGAGTGGGTCCAATTATGCTACCCTGAAGCACAATAGCTACAATGTTAACTTTTTGTGATTAATATTATAACATTTATCTTAGGAGACATAATATAATGACGATATTTTTCTTTACACAGACACATCCATTAAATTCTTATCGTCTATCAGAGTGGATAAAAAGGGTCCAGGGAGAACTGTAAATCTAAGGGGTGGAAGGATTATAGAGAGGAGGGGTGTGAGTGAAAGGGGAGGAGCAAGTGTATGGGGAGGGGGAAGTGTAGGGGGATGGGCAAAGGTAATGGGGAGTGGCAAATGTAAGGGGAGGGGAGAGTGTAAAGGGAGGGATAAGTGTAAGGGAAGGGGCGAGTGTAAAACGGGGGGTGAGTATATGGAAATGGGGGATTGTATGGAGAGGGGCTAGTGTATGGGGAGGGGACGGGGAGTACTCAAAGGAACCAGGATGCACTTTAGTGGGCGTTAAGTGTACTTGAGAAGTCGAGGACACGGTAAAAGGCGATGGTACTTCAAAGTAGATGGATGCTATACTGAGGAGGTGCTGTGCTTCTACTGGAAAGTGGGCGGGGTGAACCCTTATGGAGGCGGAACGTACTGTAAGAGAGCGTTCAGGTAACGGTGGTCACCTCAGCCTTGCAACACGTAGGGTGGGCGAGGGCCAGAGGTTTTGGTATATAAGCTGGTGGTGTGAGTCTCGTAGGCACAGTTCAACCAAGTCGAGAGCTGAGGTTACACAGTCAAAAAACATGGCAATGAGATTTGTGGTGAGTCTTAAGACGAATACGGGATGCTGACTTTTACAAACAATATGGAAAGCCAGGAAAAAGCATCTACGCGGTTTCCTAGACAGTATTTATAAGATATAAGTTATCCAGTACCATCTATCTTAACTGGTTCGATCTTAGGACACTCCTAGTTAACACAGCTGGACATGGTTATCTACAGTAAGTTTTTAGTTGGGGAAGTGAAGACGGTGGAGAGCAGTGCAGGCCACGCTGCCTCCTTGTGTACCGAAGGTTGTATACACTATACACACTGTCCTTATTGAGCAGTCATGCTTATGGGACCCACTTTCGCTTTTACCGTTTAATTAATTTTATATTGATTTAAAGGCAGCGAACCATATCTCAATTACTCGAGTATGAATCTCTGATAAGTAATTATTGTAATTCAAAACCAAATAAAAACATAAGCTAATTCGTTTTCTGTTGGTTAATTAAAGTTTGACCATTAAAACTTTCCAAGTACTGTACCTGCGTGCTAGATCATGAGGCCAGGACAATTACGTGAGACTGAAGTCACGTATCAGACACAGGATATACAGGACATTGTATAGTTATATAATCCTATCTGTTGCTTTCTGCATGCGTGTGAACCAGTTAGGCTTAGGATTTTTACTTACCTGTAAGGATTAGTTATACTGAGATTGAGATAGAGATATCTCCCTACATTGTCTAGATGTTCACGAATTTTACACATATTTATCATTATCCTCACAGGTGTCGCTGGCGGTTATAGCCGTTACATTCGCCGACCAGAGATCACATGTGAGCTTCAGTCTTGGTGGCGCCCCAGCTGTGAGCCACCACAGCTCCCCTCACCACTCAAGACCTTCCCACCACCCACAACCTTCCTACCATCCACAGCCTTCCTACCACCCACAACCTTCCTACCACCCACAACCAAACTACCACCCACAACCAAACTACAATCACCATGAGCCCGCTGTCCCCGCGTGCGCCACCAACACCACTAAGCCTTGGTGCCTCGAGGACGCCGAGTACCCCACCTACGAGATCAAGCACGCCGCTGAGCAACACTACGAGAAGGTCCTCTCCCTCTACGCTGACGTCGCTGACCTCAACACTGAGCTCTCCGTCAATCGTCCTAAGGTCCTCGAGGAGGAGACTTACCTCTGTCCCTCAGAGACCGCTTACGTCAGGCCTCTCCGTGCCCAGAACACCGATGGCAAGTGGCGGGTCATTGTCAACAATGTTGATGCTCATTATCAAACTCTCACCCAGACCACCCGCATCGAGGAGTGCCTGACCTCCGGCGACGCCTGCCCCCTGGTGCCTGAGTGTTACGAGTCCAAGTGCCTGCAGAAGTCCATCTACCACCGCTTCCTCGTCTACGACCCCTATGATCAGTACTTCCCCTTCGCCATCGAGACCTTCAAGCTGCCCGCCAGCTGTGCCTGTCTGCTGGGCGCCTACACCATCGACCACTAAGACCAATACACCACAAATCTCTCGCCACTGAAGAAATGGAAAACGAACCTTTTTATAAAAACACCTTGTGAATCTTAGTCTTTGTAGTCTAGGAGCACAAGCGGGTGGTTCCCTGTGGCGGTAACACTACTGCTGCAGGAGCCACCGTCGTTGGCATGACTTCTCAAACATCGCGGTACGTGAAGAAAGCAGTTCTCTAGTCATCTCACTGTGATAACCACCAGAAAATTTAAAACACTATTTATTACTATAAATATATATTTATATATAAATATATATATATATATATATATATATATATATATATATATATATATATATATATATATATATATATATATATATATATCGTTTGTGTAACTTCAGCTCCTGTACTTGCGCGGTACAAATAAAATTATGAACATTGTATGTAACTTTTAATAACTTACTCCTTGTCCAAAGCAAAACTTGGGTACAATTCTTGCTTTAATTAAGAAAAAAGAAGACATAATTCACAACATACCGTATCTTCAACACAAAATCCAACTCAGCTCATTTTTAGATCTATTCATTACTAAGTCATCACCTGCATCTTTTCTTCACTCCAGTGTATTCACAGAAAGTTTTCCTCCACCTTACATACAGCCACGTAGATAGTAGGCAGCTATCAAACAGGGAGGTACTTTCACCTGGGAAGATATTGGAAGCATAATGTGTTGTCTAATGGTAGACCCTGCTGCCATATGGCATCACAAAAATGGTGACCAAGTCCAAGGCTGCTGATCTGACTTTCTGACTTATTTACACACAATTGCAGGGTACCAATTGTTTCTCTTTCTGTGACAACACAACATATATATCATTTCTCACTCTTAATTTATTTATTTTGTTTCCATTTTTGTTGGTGACCTGTGCCTGAGTGGGCTACCCCGTTAAAAAAAGTTACTCTAAAGCTGTAGTCATACATGTATACCTGACGTGTTGCTCCTCACATGAATCCCAGGACTGACAGCTCATTGGACTGTTTCTAGCAGCTGATATAACGTCTTTATATAATGTTCTTAGATCTAACACTCTTATACTAGTATTCACTTAAAACGAGTCAAAGATACTGAGGACAATTCTTATCACCTTAAATTACTTATGAAACCAATCAAAACAATATATATAAATATATATATATATATATATATATATATATATATATATATATATATATATATATATATATATATATATATATATATATATATGTGTGTGTGTGTGTGTGTGTGTGTGTGTGTGTGTGTGTGTGTGCGTGTGTACAAGTTTACTCTACGCATATTAGTAGGTATAATGATAAGTACATGTACCCACTATTACATATACTGTATACGTATGGGTATGAGCACAATTATAGACATTGGTTCAACTACGTGTACATATATAGATATGGGTACAACCAGAACAAGTTCATTTACAAGTACACATAAAATAGATCGATAACCAGACCCTGAAAATGTCAATGACTTTATTTTTGCATAAAGTATATCGCAGTACGTGGAGTCATTAATAAATGGCCACACAGGTGACATGTGGTTTACTGTATTACCACATTGGTAACTCAGGCAACTGGAAGCTTACATCACTGTTATTAACATTATTTCTGGTGAAGGCGACAACAGACACCTACCCTCCCTCATTATGTACTGAGTATATTTAGAACTGGTTTAGGTGAAATCTTTATGTGCCTGACTGCCTGCCTTTTCGTCCTCTCTCTCTCTCTCTCTCTCTCTCTCTCTCTCTCTCTCTCTCTCTCATATTATATACTCTTAATACCGATAGGAACAAATAGACTTAACGTTCAAAATTTGTATAAACTACAAAAAATACGTCTGTTCGTCGTTCAGTTTGACCTTCATATATTTTGTCTAACAACCCACACAATATCATGGCGCACAGCATATATAGTCGGAATGAAGACCAAATCCTGGCTTTACTTCCGTAGGGTTTACGCTGATGTACGAATATAAAGCTTCATCTTTGTTCAATCAAGCGTGTTGCATCACCCTCCACCTCCCTCCAGCCTCCAGTGTTGGGGATGTTGGCAGCCCTCACGCTACCAACATTCTTCGCACTGAGTACGTTTCTACAGGACCAGACGGACTCACCCTCTCACGCGGTGCATTATACAACATTACATAATGTTATTACCTTGTGTGCACGTTTTTCGATCCTCTTAATTATAATAAGAGACATAATAGTTAGTTCCTTACAACTACAGGAGCGGGTCCAATTATGCTACTCTGAGGCACAATAGCTACAATGTTAACTTTTTGTGATTAATATTATAACATTTATCTTAGGAGACATAATATAATGACGATATTTTTCTTTACACAGACACATCCATTAAATTCTTATCGTCTATCAGAGTGGATAAAAAGGGTCCAGGGAGCACTGTAAATCTAAGGGGTGGAAGGATTATAGAGAGGAGGGGTGAGTGAAAGGGGAGGAGCAAGTGTATGGGGAGGGGGAAGTGTAGGGGGATGGGCAAAGGTAATGGGGAGTGGCAAATGTAAGGGGAGGGGAGAGTGTAAAGGGAGGGATAAGTGTAAGGGAAGGGGCGAGTGTAAAAAGGGGGGTGAGTATATGGAAATGGGGGATTGTATGGAGAGGGGCTAGTGTATGGGGAGGGGACGGGGAGTACTCAAAGGAACCAGGATGCACTTTAGTGGGCGTTAAGTGTACTTGAGAAGTCGAGGACACGGTAAAAGGCGATGGTACTTCAAAGTAGATGGATGCTATAATGAGGAGGTGCTGTGCTTCTACTATATAGTGGGCGGGGTGAACCCTTATGGAGGCGGAACGTACTGTAAGAGAGCGTTCAGGTAACGGTGGTCACCTCAGCCTTGCAACACGTAGGGTGGGCGAGGGCCAGAGGTTTTGGTATATAAGCTGGTGGTGTGAGTCTCGTAGGCACAGTTCAACCAAGTCGAGAGCTGAGGTTACACAGTCAAAAAACATGGCAATGAGATTTGTGGTGAGTCTTAAGACGAATACGGGATGCTGACTTTTACAAACATTATGGAAAGCCAGGAAAAAGCATCTACGCGGTTTCCTAGACAGTATTTATAAGATATAAGTTATCCAGTACCATCTATCTTAACTGGTTCGATCTTAGGACACTCCTAGTTAACACAGCTGGACATGGTTATCTACAGTAAGTTTTTAGTTGGGGAAGTGAAGACGGTGGAGAGCAGTGCCGGCCACGCTGCCTCCTTGTGTACCGAAGGTTGTATACACACTGTCCTTATTGAGCAGTCATGCTTATGGGACCCACTTTCGCTTTTACCGTTTAATTAATTTTATATTGATTTAAAGGCAGCGAACCATATCTCAATTACTCGAGTATGAATCTCTGATAAGTAATTATTGTAATTCAAAACCAAATAAAAACAGAAGCTAATTCGTTTTCTGTTGGTTAATTAAAGTTTGACCATTAAAACTTTCCAAGTACTGTACCTGCGTGCTAGATCATGAGGCCAGGACAATTACGTGAGACTGAAGTCACGTATCAGACACAGGATATACAGGACATTGTATAGTTATATAATCCTATCTGTTGCTTTCTGCATGCGTGTGAACCAGTTAGGCTTAGGATTTTTACTTACCTGTAAGGATTAGTTATACTGAGATTGAGATAGAGATATCTCCCTACATTGTCTAGATGTTCACGAATTTTACACATATTTATCATTATCCTCACAGGTGTCGCTGGCGGTTATAGCCGTTACATTCGCCGACCAGAGATCACATGTGAGCTTCAGTCTTGGTGGCGCCCCAGCTGTGAGCCACCACAGCTCCCCTCACCACTCAAGACCTTCCCACCACCCACAACCTTCCTACCATCCACAGCCTTCCTACCACCCACAACCTTCCTACCACCCACAACCAAAATACCACCCACAACCAAACTACAATCACCATGAGCCCGCTGTCCCCGCGTGCGCCACCAACACCACTAAGCCTTGGTGCCTCGAGGACGCCGAGTACCCCACCTACGAGATCAAGCACGCCGCTGAGCAACACTACGAGAAGGTCCTCTCCCTCTACGCTGACGTCGCTGACCTCAACACTGAGCTCTCCGTCAACCGTCCTAAGGTCCTCGAGGAGGAGACTTACCTCTGTCCCTCAGAGACCGCTTACGTCAGGCCTCTCCGTGCCCAGAACACCGATGGCAAGTGGCGGGTCATTGTCAACAATGTTGATGCTCATTATCAAACTCTCACCCAGACCACCCGCATCGAAGAGTGCCTGACCTCCGGCGACGCCTGCCCCCTGGTGCCTGAGTGTTACGAGTCCAAGTGCCTGCAGAAGTCCATCTACCACCGCTTCCTCGTCTACGACCCCTATGATCAGTACTTCCCCTTCGCCATTGAGACCTTCAAGCTGCCCGCCAGCTGTGCCTGTCTGCTGGGCGCCTACACCATCGACCACTAAAGCCAACAAACACACCAAAAATCTCTAGCCAATCAAGAAATGGAAAACGAACGATTTTGAAGAACACCTTGTGAATCTTAGTCTTGCAACCTTTGTAGTCTAGGAGCACGAGCGGGTGGTTTCCCTGTGGCGACAGCACTGTTGCTGCAGGAACCACCGTCCCTGGCATGACTTCTCAAACATCGCGGTACGTGAAGAAAGCAGTTCTCTAGTCATCTCCCTGTGATATCCATCAGAAGACCTCTAACATTATTTATAACTATAAATATATATAGAATATAATATATAAATATTTCTTGTGTAACTTCAGCTCTTGCACTTGCGCGGTACAAATAAAAATATGAACATTGTATGTAACTTTTATTAACTTACTCCTTTCAAAAACCAAATTTGGGTAGAATTGTTGCTTTTAATGAGAAGAAAATATTTTTAATTAACAGCATATGTTTAACACAACATCCAACTCAGCTCATTTTTATATCTTTTCATTTCTAATGCATCACCTATATCATTTTTTCCCTCCATTGTTTAAACAGAAAGTTTTCCTTCATCTTACATACAGCCACGTGTTAACCCTAACTATAAATTACCAAAGAATTAGCTGCAATGATTTAGTGTCCAGCTGTAGTTATACCCTGTGTACCTGACGTGTTGCTCCTCACCTGAAGCCCAGTACTGAGAGCTCAGAGGACTGTTTCTAGCAGCTGATATAACGTCTTTATATAATGTTCTTAGATCTAACACTCTAATACTAGTATTCACTTAAAAAGAGTCAAAGATACTGACGAGAAATCTAATCACGTTATATTTCTTTTGAAAACAGATTAAGACAGTATAGATATAGGTACAACTATACGAGTAGGTATAAGTATATGCACACGTAAAATCGTACACGTTAATACAGATAAGGTTTACACAATAGTCGCCCGCCAGTGTCTGTGTCTTGTCTGTACTGTTGGTTGTCTTGTTCACATCTCTGTATACATATAATTCATTGTATCACCTGAATATTAGCCACCCCAACTTATTTCACCTCAAGGTAGACATCCCAGTTTATTTCACCTCAAGATAGACACCCCAGCTTATTTCACCTGAAGATTGACACCCCGGCTTATTTCACCTGAAGATAGACACCCCAGCTTATTTCACCTGAAGATAGACACCCCAGCTTATTTTACCTCATGATAGACACCCCAGTTTATTTCACCTCAAGATAAACACCCCAGCTTATTTCACCTCAAGATAGACACCCCAGCTTATTTCACCTGAAGATTGACACCCCAGCTTATTTCACCTGAAGATAGACACCCCAGCTTATTTTACCTCATGATAAACACCCCAGTTTATTTCACCTCAAGATAAACACCCCAGCTTATTTCACCTCAAGATAGACACCCCAGCTTATTTCACCTCAAGATAGACACCCCAGCTTACTTCACCTCAAGATTGACACCCCAGCTTATTTCACCTCAAGATTGACACCCCAGCTTATTTCACCTTAAGATTAACAACCCAGCTTATATATCAAATTTGCATTTTTTATATTACACACCGTTACTATACAACTAATATTTAGTACAAAAACACATAATTTCCTCGCATTTTCACACCATTCTCATTAACATTACCAGAATTTTATGTGCATTAAATGTTGTAAATATTTGTAACGTTTGAAGGAAATATCCGCAAATGTATTGTGACACCACTTCATAATAATTAATGTCAAAATACAAAACCCACAATGTATCAATAATGCCATTTTCTACAACAAGTACAACTATCATAGGTCTGTAGTTCTTCTGTATCTAATGTTGTAGGAAGTTGTTGAGTAAATGTTTATTATTACAAGCTACAATTAACTTTTATTATGATCATAGTTGTAGACTCGTTACACATAATACAAACACGCAAATAGTGGGCAAGCCAGATGGTTGACAAGGAAAACACACAGTCGAGTCAGGAAGAGACAGCTGTGTTGGATGCGGTGGGTGAGGTGGATGTAGTAACTGTTGGAGTGATAGATCTGGTGGGTCGGGTGAGTGTGGTCGATGTGGTGGATGCTGTGGGTATGGAGGGTGTGGTGGATGTGGTGGGTGTGGTGGATGTGGTGGGTGTGGTAGATGTGGTGGGTGTGGTAGATGTGGTGGGTGTGGTAGATGTGGTGGGTGTGGTGGATGCTGTGTGTGTGGTGGATGTAGTGGATGTGGTGGATGCTATATGTGTGGTGGATGTGGTGGATGTGGTGGGTGTAGTTGGTGGGTGTGATGGATGTGTTACACTTTCGGGTGTTCTGGATGAGGCCAAGCCGGGTCTTTGCACTTCAGCTGATATCTTCAAGTAAACACCCTTCATACACTGTCATTTTAAAGTCCCGGCTCACTAGAAACCATGTTGCTATTTTATCTCTTCGTTGGCCATCTTAGAAACACGGGTTTACTGTGCCATATTATGAACACGGGTTTACTGTGCCATATTATGAACACGGGTTTACTGTGCCATATTATGAGCACGGGTTTACTGTGCCAGCTTATGAACATGGTTTTAATGTGCCATATTATGAACACGGGTTTAATGTGCCATATTATGAACACGGGTTTAATGTGCCATATTATGAACACGGGTTTAATGTGCCATATTATGAACACGGGTTTACTGTGCCATAATATGAACACGGGTTTAATGTGCCATATTATGAACACGGGTTTAATGTGCCATATTATGAACACGGGTTTAATGTGCCATATTATGAACACGGGTTTAATGTGCCATAAACAACTTTATTTCTTATTACTCACTTCAGGATTGGTTAATTATCAAGGTAGATTTCCATGTGGTCTTTCCCGTATTATTGTAAAACTTTGGAGGGCAATTCTTGCTTTA